GCACGCACGCACAAACCGAAGTGACAGCACTGGTTGGCAGTCACGGCACAGTGACACTAGTTAGGCCAATAATGAGACATGATATCCCTCCCTCCAGAGGTCAAAAACCTCTCTATCTCTGTCTGTCTCTGAGTTAAAAGTCTTACAGCCAAATGAATTATTCTTCAATTACTCTTGCAAGAGACGCACATCATCCTTAGGCTCTTCTCTCCTCATTATATTCATAAATCCCCCAATCTCCTCCATACAGCAGTCAAGAAAATTATTATTACAATTTTTCGACTCATTCTGCGACCCCCACAACCCTATTACCTTTTTTCCATCCAAATCCCCTCTGCTGCTTCTTTCCCCTTTATCCTCTCTACCACCCCTGAGACACAACACAGATGTGCGAGTACACAGTGACGCGCACATATGTACACATAAATGTGAACACAAACACACTTACTTCTTGGTTTGTGTTGGGGGTTATCAGTTTGACACAGGGCACTCTGATTATGTATTTTCTGTGCTCCAGTGAGGGGGGGCGGGGGGCGATAAGAGGCCGGCAGACACCACTTTTTTCGATGTGGGGTGGGAGCGGCGGAGTGGAGGGCTCCCAGGTGGCAGTGGGTGAAGACTTGTATCTTAACCTTTGTGATTTTTTTTAATATTCTGCTTGTGGGAACTAACAGAAAAAATTAAATTAAAAGAAATCAATAATTTCTTACTTCTTTCTCCCACTCTTTCTTTTTTCATTCATTCATATGCCGTAAGCCAAATTTGAAGTCAAGATGTAGCGAGTGCATACCACTCCACTGAGCCACCACGATGGATAGAACATATGATGCTGGTTATGAAATTAAATAGCTTCCCTGTCATAAACCAGACTGTTTTATTTGCTCATAAACACACAGAGAGAATGAGGTATTACCCACGGTCCAATTCTGTCAAATTTAGAGAGCATTTCTCAAAGGTCCTAACTTTTTCTCAGGAAGAACAACAAAAACCACTGGAGCAGCACGGCTGAATTAATCTACAAGGCCCCAAATTAAGACCAGAAACATCCAAGTTCTGCACATCAGAGGAAGACAACACATAGTTATTACGGTCTCCAAATATACCCCTTTTCATGTCTGACACATTCTTCAACAGTCTCTCCATTTGTTATGTGTTTGGCCTCATCTCCCTCTGCCTTGGGCAGGAACTTTCACACAAACACACACAAAGGCATTTTGAGGCCCACGGTGTCTTAGGGCAGCGATAGGCTGATGTATGAGGAGGAGCATTGTGAGTAGGCATGACAAGCAAAGGGAAGCCATCAGTGGGACATCTAAGGCCCGGGGAATGAAGGCTCTCTGGCACCCAGAGCTGCTCTCAAACACTGGCTCTCTGATAGAGCCGACCTTGGACTTAATCACTACCAGAAGAAAAGAGCACCACTTGACAGGAAGATGGAGAGACAGAGGGAGGGTGTGTGTGTGTGTGTGTGTGTGTGTGTGTGTGTGTGTGTGTGTGTGTGTGT